TTCTGAGTTCTGAGTTTCTGAGCTGATTTGACTCCCATGTATGGTTGCCCATGCTTAGCACATGGCTCTAGGGATGTAGATGTGATGTCAGCCAATCATGACATTTCTGTGAACTTGGTTCAGTCTTTGACGTGCTGAGGGCTCCAGATTTACCCAATTTGGCTGAAATTTGGATATGTTATAATAGACACCGATTGGAACAACTTCTATCAAGGATGTCTCCTAATCCGAGCTCTATAAGTTGCTGAAATGAGGCCTGCAAGATGACCTACGAAACTGGACTGACAAGGAGTGTGGCCCAAATTGGGTTTGTCTTTAAGCTCATATTCCTCTTATCCCAATCAGCCCTTAACAAGCATGGATTGCATCAAATGTGATCTTTTGCTGTCTTAACCTACAAAACAAACAAAAAGAGGTAAGGGACTAAAAATAAAGAGAAACTAAGTAAAGTCACTAATTAAAGAGGGCATGCGAATGTATGAAATTATGAACTTATCAACTAACCCAACCCAAGTTAATTCAAAATTGAGAAAGAAAATGAAATAACGCAAAGAATTGAAAATGTAAATAAACCAAGATAGGAAAAAGCTAAGGTTTTAGATTCCATACCATTATTCCATAAACTATAATTAATTATCTAACAATTCCCATGGAGTAGCAATCTAGAAATCAATCTACTACTTTCTCAAGATATATCAATTAAGCATGCATTTTAATGAATCTTATGTAAATTCCCCTTCCCTTCATATTCACAAATTCTAAGCATCCTATGTGAAAAATATTGTTTAACTACAAAGAATCAAAGAAAATTGTATATTAGTAATACAAAACCAAGGCTGCATTAATAGATTAACTTGTATTCCTAACTACCACAAATACATGATAGAAGTGGTGAAAAGAAAATTAACCTATTAATCATGTGAAAGTGAAATTATAAACATTGAAGAATATAATAGTTGGGAATTAAAAGATAAAAACTGGAACAACAAACTTTAATTAGACATAAATAAAATAACAATACAAGATAAAAATTAAGAACAAAGAGATGGAAAAATTACATCTTTAACCCCTTGGTTCCTTGCCTCATGGCTCCCCAAGGTTCTCTCCAATTGTAAGGCTATTTTTCCTCTCCCTGGATCCTTGCCTCTCGGCTCCCCAGCTGTCTACTTGGTGCCAAAACTCTTGCTCTAATTCTGCCCTCTTCTTCCATTGTGTTGCTCTCTATTTATAGAGGAATGAGATCCTCTTGCAGCTGACATTAACCCATTGCATACCGACGTGGGTTATATCATTGCATTCTCTCTATTCCTTTTTCTTTTGGTTGCTGCCATTCCTGTTTTGCTGTGGCAAATCATGTGACTTTGCTGCTGCATTCTCTTCTTTAGCTGATTTCTTCACATGCATGGAGGTCTGGCCCTCTTTGATCATTCAATTATGTGATAATGCCAAGAATTCTGCCGCATGCTGCCCATCCTTCTTTGTTGCTCAGATTCACATTCATTTGGTCTTCAACTTGTGGCTGCCTTCTGCCAACCCATGTGGGTTTCTTTCCTTTATTTCTTTGGTGCACATGTATTTGGCTGATGCATCACAAGTCACTCCTTTATTTGCTGCATGTACATCATGGAAGTTTGCTGCCATATTCCTTTGGGTTGCTGGAAAAACGATTCTTCTGAACCAGGTTTGGTGTAGGAAGGCCTGAGGTTTCAATATGTATCCAATGGGGTTCAAATTTGGATATGTTATAATAGACACCCATTGGAACAACTTTCATGAAGATTGCATTCCCATCTGAGCAGTATAAGTACGTGTTTTGGGGCTTGCAATTGACTGCCGAAAATAGACTGGAAAAAGGAATTCATTTCTTTTCTTTCCTTTCTCTTTGCTTCACATGCATGCACATTCTTTCTCCTTAATAGCTTCAACATGCACCTATATATAATCATGATATTAAAATAGAATGTAACAATTATTGCGCAATTGATAAGTACCAAATAGAGAATTCAAATGAATTAGCCTTTATTTCAATGAAGTACAAATGGATTTGTAAAATGCAATGGAACATTCTAATTGGTGCAAAATTCATTAAAACAAAGTACTAACAAATACAGATTAGGCATAGAAATTGTAATAATTATGTGTTTATCAGGTAGCATATTCTTTGAGCTAAGAACTGCTAGACAATACAGTAGAAATATATATATGAAAAGAAACCCAAAACAATGGAAATATATATTATATATATATGCAAATCAAGATGACCTTAAAAAGCATTAAGAAGAAATGGGCTGCAAGATGAGTGATACTCACAAAGCAGATAACTCCCCTTCCTGGCCTCAATCCCAAAGGCTCATGCAGCTGCCCTGGTTGAGGATGCACTCCAGTGTCTCCATAAGGCTCTCCACTTAACCCTACACATACACAAGTCACAAATTTACCTTCAATCCTAAAAATCAGCAAAACCCATGAACAATCTGAACAACAAATAAAATTCAAAGTCATACCTACTTTGAATAAAGCAAGATACCAATCCCTATAAATTCTTTAAAAAAAATACCATAACTAAATTAATTGAATTAATCTACCAAGAAGTAAACCCTTGATTGTATGAATAGGACTAGAAGATCAAGTAACTAATGTTGCTGCCACCAAAGTGTAAATTCGTGAAACAAGTTCTAGCCATGTGGCTTGTAAGAGAAATTCATACTCATGCTAAAGTGTTGGATTATCTAAACATTATAATAATTGAAAATATGAAGAAACTAAAATAATGAAACTGATAGAGTGTAGGGATTTTGCCAAATTAGAGCTGTACCCGGTGTATGAATCTGGATCATTTTCATTACACTAACAACAAAAACAAAATAATAATAATAAAATTTCTATAGTGCTTGGTTGAAACAAAAAATCTTATGCAAATAATCAAATTTTTTTTTTTATATAGTGCTTGCTTTAACATTCAAAATAATTGAATTGTTAAGATCCCATTCCAACATCAGTTTTTCAGTCCCCACTTACAAAGTTCAAGAGTTACAAATACCCAAAGTCTAGACAAGACTTTATATGAAGCTAATCAAAATAGCTAATAAAATACGCAATGCGGGCACACAGGCCCAATCAGGGTATTTGTAACAGAAACCAAAAACCATATAAAGTCAGGTCGAAATACCCAAAGTCAGGTCCAACATCGCTTTCTAGATGGGGTTTTTTTTAAAAAAAAATTTATTTTTAGTGTCAGGTATATAACGTTTTTTTTTTTTTATGCGAAAAAGAAATTACAAGAAAAAACCATGCGGGCACACAAGCCCAATCAGGTCGAAAAAGAAAGGAACCGAACAATTCAAAGGCAGCCCCGACTCCCACAACTTGGAAAGGGTTAGCCCATGGCCTAAACTAGTAACAGCGTCTGCTAGAAAATTCGTCTCACAAAAGATATGGGAAAACAACAGAGTAGCACACAAGGAACTAAGGGCTCATTTGGTACGTCGGATTGTACTGACTAATTTTTGTCAGATAATATTAATCTGTTCCGGAGAGTACTGACTATTTATCCATCATATTATAAGGCGTTTGGTGCTGTTCTGGATAAATAGTTTGACTAAATTATATTGTGTTTAGTGCTGTTCTGGATAACATCGGATTAGACTATTTTTATACAAAAAATTCTTTGATAATTTAAGTGAAAATATAGACAATATAGACTATAATTTGCATATATATAATTAAGAAAAAAAGAGAGAATATATTAAAGCCCAAGAAAAGCAGGCAAGAAGAGAATCAACAGCCAGTAGCAACACGGAAATAACTAGAGAACAAACCAACAAAGCACCAAAAGTAGGAAAACAAAATTACAGCAAGAAAAACATAGCCGCATGTATTGTTCTAATCGCTGATTTGGGATGATAATTTGATTATTGAGTTGGATACCTAGAGAAGATGAAATACATAAAGAAAAAAATGCAAGAAAAACTCTACAGCATGTATTGAGTTGGATACACAACTGCAGGATGATTATTTGATTATTGAGTTAGATACAGAGCCGCGTGTATTGTTCCAATACAACAAGGAAAAAAAAAGTCAAAAAGGAAAAACTCATAACCTAATTTCCACAAAAATGTAAGAAAATATGAAATATATAAAGAAAGAGAAGATGAAGAAAGAAGAAGAGAGAAGAATATGAGAGAGAGATGGATACATGGAGAAGAGTGAAGAGAATAACTTTGGAAAAGATAGTAGAGAAGAATCATAGGGAAAAGAAGATGAAAACAACGTCGTCGGATTTTTCATGTGAGCGTGTGTGTTCTTTTTCTTAGCTGTATAATTAAGCGTGTATTATCTAAACTGAAGTGTGTGAGTTGTATTAGTTAGTCAGGTAATTAAATAATACAAGTAGACACCAAACATCTGACATGAACTATTTACTCCTATCCATAATTTAATACGGTGTACCAAACGAGCCTTAAGAAGCTTAATATCCTTCATCAAGGTACAAATACTCCAAGGTGGATCCGCAGCCTGATTAGCACACTCGATGATGAGCTTAGAATCCCCTTCCACCAGAATATTGCGCCAGCCTCTGTGAATTGCATACGCCAATCCATCACGAAGAGCCATGCATTTAGCCACCGAGATAGTATTGTCACCAATGTTCTTAGCTCCAGCCAATAAGACATGGCCTTTAGAATTACGGATAACAAAGCCTGAGGCAGCTGAGTTGTTACGAATAGAACCATCAAAGTTTAACTTGACCCAACCCTCGGGGGGAGGCTTCCATTTGATGTGAAGAGGGGACTTGGGCCCCTTCTCACACTTGAAATTTTGTCGCCAGTACTCCATGCCAACCTGTCTAGCCAAATTGAGAACACGAACAGGGTGGGGGGTAACACCTTTGAAAATAAGGTTATTTCTAGCTTCCCAGACTTGCCAACATAAGAGGAGAACCTTAGAGAGAGTGTTGGGGCCATCCAAAGAAGAATTAGCTAGGAGAGTGCCCATCCAAGTGAGCAAATCAAAATTTGAGGCAGTAGTAACATGCGCCAAATTGGTACATGACAGGACCTGCCCCGAATTTCCTCGAAAACCGGGGCGAATCCCGTTTTGTTACCAACATCACCCCGATGCCGGGCCCACTTACTAAGAAACGAGACTTTCTACCAAAATTTTGGCAGTCTCCCTTGTAAATTGAACATTTCCCAAATTTCAACCTGCTCAAAATTCACAGTTTAACAAGATCCCAACCAGCAGCATGCTTGAAAGCAAATAAACAGTTTACAACAAAAGCCACAAGCCTCACAAATCAAACCCTACGCGGGCGATAACAGAGCATGTCTAAGAATTCCATATACAACAAAACCAAAGTTCAACAGGAATAAAATGATGAAGGAGTTCCTACGAAGGCTCAACATTCAGAAGCACACAATCCGACTCAGCTACGAAGCTCAGTCAACTACTGGTTGGGGGGCGCAAAACAGAAAATTGTGAGTGGACAAAAATAAAGTTCAATTCAATGTAAACCAACATAATATAACCCCCACCGTTTAGGAAACTATGCAAGAAATCCAAATGCATCCCAAAACCATCAAAATCAAGTATATAAATATCAAATCAAAACAATACGGAATGCCAAGTCCGAAATCCATGAAGAATACTTTACAAACCCACCATCCAAATCTTATAAATCCCACAACTAAAGTCTCGAAAGCGTACCCATTGGCACGACCGGCAAGGAAGTATCCTCACCGAGAAACAAAAACGAATGAATAGTTATATATATATACATAATAATATATAATAATATAAGATATATATCATATAATATAACCAACACCTAGTTGTACCGGGGAAACAATCCAACCGGGAGATTGTTTGACTAGTCCACACGGCAAAGCAAAATTCCTCAATTCACCATGTGGCTAGGAAACGAGCTGTCCAACTAGGGGACTAACTCTCAGCCAGCACGTACAGCCGAGACTCTCAAAGCTTGTACGCCTGAAAAACCAGTCCTACGCGCGCAGACTACCCAATCAAGGGTCTACAGCAACATCTCATCAAGGATGCCCCGGGTTCCGACAATTCCAAGTATCTCAAGTTTCCGTATCCAAGTTCCAAGTCTGTGGAGGTACATAGGGTAGTGCTTCTAGCACTCCAAACTGACATTCTATACTCAAACCTTTCCACAATCTCAACTCAACAACCCAAGTACCCCACACATAGACAATATAGGTAGAAATTCTCAAATTCCATACATACATACTCAAGATACTCAAATATGTCAAAACCCAAAATATAATTCCAAAGCTTTATAAGAACAACAAATTCGACAATCAAATACATAATATATCCAATATACCATTTAAAACAATATGCAATATTTTCCATCAATAAAATCATGCTTAAGATTTGAAAACAAAGTCCACTCACAAGTAGTCCCACACTGCTTGACTCTGAGAGGGTCTCGCCTGCTGCATATGCGTGGGCGGAGTACCTATTTCAGATTACGAAAAGGAGATTAACACCAAGCGTTTCGAAAGAGAACTTTAAATTAAAATCCTAGTTTCCCGGGTTTCAGGTGCGTGCACGAGGAACGAGACCAACTGAAAGTTCCTAAGGGTTCCACAAGGTTTAGGATACACGTCCTGCAAATTTGGTCCGAAACGGACGGTCAAATCGCTCACGATCGCACGATCGGACGGTTATCGTGAAACTCAAACTTTAAGTTATTGAATCGGAACATCCGGGGCTCCGATTCATAATCCGCGAATTTCTACACGATCCTAAGAGTGTCTAGAGTAACATATATTGGAATGGAGTCGATCCAACGGCCTGAACATATCGAACCCGAATAACGCACAATATGCAATATCCGATCGACGATCAAACGATAACCAAATTGAAATCCGATAATACTGTTATGCTCGGAACAACAGAAGTATCAATTTAGGACAAAATGGCAGGCCGACACTGTTCCCACGCGCTGACAGCGCATGGGTGCCCAAAGAAATTTCCGACTACCGGAAAAACTCCAAACTGCCTACCAAGACTTCCAGGTTAGGTAAATCACATGCAGTGAAGCAACTTTTGTTCTTGGACCTACCTCAAAAAGTCGACGGAAGTGGTCGGAATCAGAGGCCGAAACCGGCCAAAACTTCCATCTTTTGGGAACGTTTCAAAACTCATAAATTGATCCTAAATACCATAACCAGAAGCTACAGCACAATGAGAGGATGAGAAAACATACCAAGTTCGAAGAATGTGGTTGGCGGAATCACCCGAACAAGCTCCTTTAAGTTATGGGTAAAACCGACGACTTTTCTGAAATTTCCGGCTACCATGGGCAGTGGTGGAGGCAGTGAAGGATCGGGATAGGAAGAGGGAAGTGACCTTGACGTTTTGGTACCAATATCACGAAGTTTGGTGGTCGGTGGAAGAGATGGCAGAGGAAAAACCGTTCGGATGAACAGTAACAGAGGAGGGGGCTGTTTCTGCGCGCAGGGAGAGAGAGAGAGTGAGAAAGAGAGGGAATTTCCAGATTTATTAAAAACCAACTTCGAGAAAATTACGGTTATGCCATTGAACTTGTTTTGAACGTAACTTCTTCGTTACAACTCCGAATTGAGCCCACTATGTGTCTACGGATTCATCTCAGTACGATCTATCCAAAAATACTAGTCATTGCCCCAAACTCTCTCCGGATAAGAAAATGACCAAAATACCCCTACCCCAAGGGTAATTTCGTAAATTCACATTTAATTGAATTAAATACTTTGAATAAGGAATTTAATTTGGAGTCGGGGTGTTACAGTACAGCTCCAAATGCTTTAAGTGAAGGGGCAAGTGAAGAACAGATGATGAATGGTTTCCGTGTGGGAGTTGCAAAGGGAGCACTCCGGGTTGATGTGTAGGAGGAATCTGTGCAAGTGACTGCGCACCTGAAGTCTCTTTCTGATAAGAAGCCACGAGAAAATCTTGACTTTAGAAGGGATGGTAAGCCCTCACATTTTCTTAAGAAGAGCTGCTTGAGGATGAGAAGAAGCATCCTGTACCTGCACAATATAAGCACTTTTAACAATAAAAAAATCCTTTAGCATTAGGGCCCTAAATTAATTGATCTTCCAAAGGGGGCAAGGGGAAGGGGGATAGAAGTAATTTTTTCCAGAATGTCTTCATCAACAACTTCTTTAAGCTTATCCAAATTCCAACGTTGATCAATTAAAAAATCAACAACATGCTAGAGGTTAAGAGAGCTTCTCTGGGTCATGGGGATCAGGTCAAGAAGGGGGAAAGGAAAAACCCAGTGGGCAGTCCAAAAAGGGATAGACTTACCATTTCCCACAATCCACCTGATACCCATGTTAAGAACAGATCTTGCATCTAAAATTGCTTGCCAAGCTGAGGAACGGGAAGACTTCTTTTTTAGGGCTACGAAATTTTCTTTTTGAAGGTATTTTAGTCTAATAATTTGAGCCCACCAATTAGAATTATCGGTGAGACAGATCCAACCGAGTTTAGCTAAATCAGCCTTGTTAAACTGAGAGGCAGACCTCACTCCAAGCCCTCCCAATTCCTTAGGAGCATATATCTCTTTCCAAGAAACAGAAGGGCTTTTTGTTTGGTTACCCTAGAAAAATTTCCTGCACGTAGAGTTCATTTCTCTGCAAACAGCAGGAGGGCATTTAAAGCAAGATAAAGTATGGTTAGGGATGCCAGAAACACTTGCCGTTATTAAAGTGAGCCTTCCTGCATGAGACAAGGTTTGAGCCTTCCAACCCGCAAACTTACCCTTGATTTTCTCAATCATGGTTTTGGCATTGAGGGTATCTTTCCAAAAGACAATATTACTGATCCCAAGGTAGCGACCAATGGTTGCTTTGTGCTAGATTTGCATAATGTTGCTGAGGTTGGATCTTGAACTAGCTGAAACATTGTTAGAGAAATACACAGTAGATTTATGAAAATTAATTTTCTGACCAGACACTTTAGAGAAAGAGATTAATAACTTATTAATGTTTCTAGCAGCCACAAGAGTAACTTTGGCAAAGATTAAACAGTCATCTGCAAAAACCAAATTAGAAATACGAAAACCTCTCGGCGAGGACAGAATACCCACATTAGTCTTGGAGGCAGAAGCTAGAGCGTTACAATGCCTAATAAAAGGCTTCATGCATAAAATGAAGATGTAGGGGGATAGAGGGTCCCCTTGTCTAATGCCCCTAGAGGGGGTGATAAAATCTGAGGGGGAGCCATTAACTAAAACTGAAAAGGACGAACTAGTAATACAATTCATAATTATGTCACACCACCCAATACTAAAACCAAATTGGAGAAGACAAGCTTTAATATAAGACCAATCAAGAACATCATAGGCTTTTTCCAGGTCTAGCTTAACAGCCATGGTACCTCTAGAACCTTTCCTTCGTTTAAAATCATTAAACAATTCATGAGCAATCAAAATATTATCAGAGATAGAACGACCAAGGGCAAAAGCACCTTGGTTTTTGGATATGCATTTAGAAAGGATGGGTTTGAGTCTATTAATGATAATCTTGGTAATGATTTTGTAAGCTACATTACAGAGGCTTATGGGTCTAAACTGAGAGACAATTTCAGGGCCATTAACTTTGGGAATAAGAGCAATATTGGTATGGTTAATTTCTTTCAAAGACATGTTATGATTAAAGAAGTCATCAACCAAATTTTTGAGATGGTCTTTTGTATTGTCCCAACAATTCTGGTAAAAAATGGCATGCACTCCATCCGAACCCGGGGCTTTAAGAGCCCCGATGCTTCTAACAGCATTATGCACTTCCAGATCCGACACATTAGTTAACAACCTCTCATTATCCTCTAGAGAAATGCAAGGTTGGATGACCTTAGTGTAGCTATTTAGAGAATTTTGGCTAGGTGTATCAGAGGCTGTAAACCTCTTTTTAAAGGCATCCACAATCAATTGGACAAGGCTCTCATCTTCCACCCAGTTGCCTTAACCGTCTTTAAGCCTCTCGATTTGGTTTCTTTTCCTTCTAATAAGGGCTTGTGTATGAAAATATCGGGTATTCTTGTCCCCTAAGTTCAGCCAATTGGTCCTAGCTTTTTGGGCATAAAAAAGCTCCTCATGCTCGGGCAGCTGCTTTAGGTTCTGGTTGATATTATGGTCTTTATACATCAGGTAGGGGTCAGTGGGTTTGATAGCCAATTGGTCCTGGACAATCTGAAGTTCATCTTGAAGAGAACTGATTTTATGAAAGAGGTTACCAAAAACCTCACGATTCCACTTTCTAAGGAGCTGTTGGAAAGTCCAACAACAAGTATTAACTTGTTGGGAAGAATTCCTATGGTAATTCACCCCCTAGGCTTGAAGAACAATACGCTGGAAATCCGGGTGGGATAACCACATGGCTTCAAATTTGAAGGCTCTAGGGTTATTTCTTTTCCTAGACTGGCACGACAAAAAAATTGGACCATGATCTGATCTAAGAATGGGGAGGTTATGAAGAGTACAATTGGGATACAAATTCAACCAATTGGGGTTTACTAAAACACAGTCAAGTATCTCATAAATGACTGAATTGTCTCTATGACCATTACACCAAGTGAAAGGAATGCCAGCAGCACTAAGAGAAATAGTATCACAATTATTTATAAAGCCATTAAAATCTGCCAAAGCAGACATCAAAGGAGCGGAACCACCTAATTTCTCACTAGGGGCGCAAACATTATTGAAGTCCCCCATAAGAATCCAAGCTTCAGAAGCCGCAGGTTTAAGGCCAAGGATATCTATCCACAGCTGTTTTTGTTTTTGTTTTTGGGGATAAGCATAGACAAAAGTAGCTTTCCAATTTTTTTGGTCAATAATATCTTGAATATGGCAGTGAATGAAACGTTCATGATAATCTAAAATAGTTATATTAATAAAAGAAGGATCCTACAATAAGATAATCCCTCCACATTGACCAAGGGCAGGGATACAAAAGAAACCATCAAAACCAAGCCTCTGAGCAATAACCTCGGCTCTAACCCTAGAGGCTCTAGAATCCAAAATACAGAAAACATTTAAACTTATTGTACTAATATAAAAAAGGGCTTACAAAATAAAGCCAGGCCAAGCACTGCCTCGGTTATTCCAGGATAACAGCTTCATGGATTGGGGCTAGGGGAGTTACCAACCAAGGGTTCAGTCTCCCTCAGATACTCTCCATGTATCTCAACACTCGGATCAGATTTCTCTTCCGCTTCCACCTCATCACGAGCTCTCTTCTTAGGACTCTTATAAGCATAACCAGTGAAGGCACTGCTGCCTTCTTGGGACTGAGCAGAGGCAGTCAGAACAACCTTTGCCTTCCCCTTTCTAATATGGTCTGTTGGGGAAAACTTAACCCCATCATATCACGGGACCCACCTCCTTCAATAATTTTGATTCCCTTAGCAACTTCTTTAAAAGTTCTCCCATCCCTTTCTCGCATTTTGGCTTTGCCTTTACGGTTAGCCACAACCATCCACCCCGGGTCCTGTACCACAGTAGGCACCTTCTCACCCTGGTCAGAATTTTCCTCCGCAAGGGAATTCACAGTTATAGGCTGAGGGAACACCAGTATGACATCATCAGCTAGTTTTTGTTGCTCTTCAACCTCAAGGACTAAGTCCCTAGGGAACACGTTAGGTTCGTTCTCTAGTCTTTCAACTTGGAGAAATCTTTTGTTTGAAATTTTGATAGGGCAGATGTGACCGCGCACCATCTTATGGCTACAATAGAAACAAATGGCAAAAAAGGCTTCATAGTTAACAAAGATTCTGATTTCTTGGGGATACTCACCCAGAACAAGGCATCTTTTTAGGGGCCTAGTTAGGTCTAACACAAGGCGAGCTCTAACAAACATACTATGTTTACCCTCCGTAGACTGCAGGTCCACACTAATGGGATCTCCAAGGATAGAGACTAGATCATAGAGGACCTCAGGGTCTTTGTAATGTAGAGGCAGAAAAGGAATTCTGACCCAGCCTACAATGGATGTCACAGCAGCATGGAAGGGTGAAAAATCTGGGGTCCAGCACTGCAAGGCAAAAATCTGACCTTGGACAAACCAGGGTCTGTTTTCCAACACGAAAGAAACATCAGCTTCAGCATTAAACTCCACCTTATACCAGTCTCGACCAATATGGTCAATAGAGACCTCCCCCTGCAGGTTCTTCCATTCACTCTTGAGTCTATGCCTAATAACTCTGCCATTCACAGGAACTCCAAAGACTTTCCCAACCAAACAGAAAGTCTCATACAGTGTTTGGACACTAGACGCAAGAGCAGATGTAGAGACTTTGGTTTCATTTCTTTCCATCCTAAAGGTAAATCTGCCCTTGTGTAGAACAGAGGGTTCCACAGAAGACTTACTCCCCAACGTGGGAGACCACATTGGACTCAGACTACGGGATTTTGCCCGGGAAGAGCTAGCATTAAGTTGAGCACTCATGGTGGGATGAGAGGAAAGTGAGTAAAGGCAACGGGTATTAAGAGGAGGTTTAGAATATGACCTTAAGAGGTGGAGATAGCTAGTTTTGATTTTCGTATAAATAGCCAGCATGAAGCTCACAGAATGATTACAAATATAGCCAAACCACCAATGCATGCACAGATGAAGAAGGGGGAAAGAAGTTATCTAACCTGAGTTGCTAAAATCTGCATCGAGCACCTCCCAAATCATCAACATCACAAGGGGTTTCCAATTTCTGGGGTAATGATTTAGTCTGAGACGATCCTAGCCATTAGATTGAAAAAAGGATGCAAAATTAGAGTGAATGAAGTTAATACATGACAAATAATCAATTAGATTGCAACAATAAATTGCACTTCCCCAAGGGAGCCCATCATCTGATGCATCGTGAATCTCAAACAACTTCTTTTTACCTCCACCGTGTGGTTTGGATGATGGATCGAAAAGCATTTCGCCGCCCAATCCCAATAAAAGCCTTGGGGAGAAGAACCAACTCGAAATCTTCCCAAGATAAACACCCATAGCTTCGACCAGCTTTTAGATGTAATAATTGAACCCTCGTGCTTCACTCGATCATCCTTATGAGCTTTTTGTCTTCCCTTTTTCTTCCTTCTTTTCCAATTTCCCACCCTCTCAAGAACTGCCCTAATCCCTTGTTTGCTCTCGTTCTTCATTCTCGAAACAATATATAGTTGAGTCGCTCACCCAGAAATTCACATAAATTGTTGGCATGACATCAATGTTTGCTTCCAATACACTTCAATTATTGTATATAACGGTTTTAATTGACGTTGTTTATCAAATGTTAGGGAAAAGTGATACAATAAAATGTCAAGGAACGTGATACGTACTTGATGTTTCTAGTAAAACGTCATGAAAACCTCCTATGTAGTTGACACCTTTTAAAAAGTGTCAAATGATTTTGCAAAAAAGGTCAACTATGAAGTGTCAATTAAAGTCCATTTTCTTGTAGTGATAACATTACATTGTTAGTTGTGTTTTTGTGGCTTTATGGTTTTGGCCTCGTTGACCAAATTTTTGGCATCAACATGTTATGTACTTTGTTCTTTCACCTTATAAGTATAACTAGATCCTTGCCATATACATTAAAACGTAAAGTTTTGTAAGTGCTTATCTCCTAGTTTTATGGGCGCAACTTTTCTTGTGTTTTTTTTTTTTTTCAATTTAAACAGATTGTGAATGTATTATTTTATCTTACTTATTGAATTGCATTCTCCCTTAACATTTTCATTAACTTGACAATTTGTGGGCTTTTGAATGTTTGACTTTCAGGGCATTCTACCTTTTTTTAATCAATGTATAGATGAGCTTCTTCACAACTTCAACATAATATCTACACTAGCCTCTTCGCACACGCTTCCGTGCCTGCGAGATGCTTTTTTTTAAAATTCAAAAATTTACTTTAGAATTAAAAAAGATAATGGTAGTTGTGTTCCATAAAAATAGGATCCATTATCTGATTTTTCTTTTCATTTTAATTTTTTTAATATGAAAAGTGTGAATATACCATATTATCCTTATTTAATTAATAATTTCAATTCTTAATGTTTGCATTAACCAATAGCATTTTCTGGTATTTTGAATATTTTACCATTTAAAAAATATATATTTTATTTTAGAGTAGTTGTGTTCCTTAAAAATAGGATTCATTACCTGATTTTTCTTTTAATTGTAATTTTTTTAATATGAAAAAGTGTGAATTTACCATATTGTCCTCATTTAATTAATAATTTTAATTCTTAACCAGGGGCATTTCTAGTATTTTGAATGTTTCACCATTCTCTGCCTTTTGCTTTATATATATAGATGACTTGTGTTATGTGTATTATTATTCGTTGAAGTTGTAATACAAGATTAACAAATTTGCAGATTTCCTTTCTTTTCCCCTATAGTTCACCAATCCATATGAAGTGTAATTTTATTAACACAAGAAACTAATATTATTAATCATGAGCCAAACAATTTATACTAGAAACTAATTCCAAATTCCTCATTGTAAATCATTCCATCCAAAGGGACCAAAATTTGTTACATAACCATAATGTCATCATAATACTGTTTGTGTGATAACCTCAAAATTGAAATTATAAGGTTATTAATATTCTGAAAAATCATACAAGATTAATAAAATGTATGGGTATTTTATGAAGTTGATTTGGTGTGGTAATAATGGAGTTAAGTGAGTTTAATCTCAATTTGGGACTAACATTCTCTTACGTTTAATTTTAAGTAAATTTAGGTTTTAGTCAAAAAAAAAATTTCACTTTTGGAAAAAGCCAAAGTTTTTTCAAAAAAGACAGAAAAACCTCTCAACTTTCAAATCAAAGATATGCAAATGTAAAGGATTCATTAGGAAATTCAAAAATAAATAAGGACAATTTTGTCCATTTTGGCTTCTTTTACAAAATTTCTCTTTCCTTTGTGTTTTTCCAAAGTCTCCCTTAATTTTATGATTTTTCAAAGGAAGTAGAAGAAATTGAAGTGAGAAAATTATGATTCTTAGATGAAAAAATGGAGCTCGATCTCACGAACGCATAGGCATAGACGGTTCGTGAATCCGAGTTGAAACAAAGACGTTATGCTTGTTTGAAGTTTCTAGCACATCCCTCAGAATTTGTTTTGTTTACTTTGTTCCCTAGTTTATGCAAATCCTCACTTGTATGTGAAATTTGTCATTTGTCAAAATTTACTAGACTTCCATTTAATTCTTCCATATCTAGAGCTAGCAAGCTTTTTGAGATAGTGCACTCTGATGTTTGGGGACCTGCACCTCTAGAGTCTTTTGATGGCTATAGGTGCTACATTACTTTTATTGATGATTTTTCAAGAGTCACTTGATTGGATTCCTATTCCTAAGTGGATTAGGAAATTACACTTATCCAAATCCTAATAGACTTCTAGAAATCCAAACCTGAATTGAATAAGGAAAACTGAAATTCTTTCCTAATCCCTCTAGGACAAGAATTGGTATACCTCTAATTTTCCTAAAACAATCCTAAACCAACTAGGACATATTTGACGAGCCAAAATCCTAACAATCTCCACCTTGGTGAGTCAAACCAAGTCTTGATCGTTGCACCCCAGAGTATCTTTGAACCTCCTTGAAGCAGCTCTGGAAATCTTCAAGAGTCTTCACCTTGGCAATCTTCTTCTTGCCTCATTGCACCTCAAGTGAGGAGGTGCTCCACTTTAATCAATCAACGAGATTGATCAAGTTCAAGCAATGCTTGAACTTCTTGGCCGACACTATCTTTGTAAGGAAATCTGCGGCATTGTCATCCGTATGAATCTTTTCAATCCAAATCTCCTTAGACTCCACCCAATTTCTGATTCTGTGATATCTTGCTTCAATGTGCTTTGATCTTCCAGAAAAAACTTGATTCTTTGCCAAGTGAATGGCACTTTGACTATCACACTTCAGCTTCACAAAATCTTGGGTGATTCCCATTTGACTTACCAAGCCATTAAGCCAAATTGCTTCCTTTCCAGCTTCGGCCAATGCAATATACTCTGCCTCTGTGGTCGACAAAGCTGTAATTGGTTGCAGTAGTGCTCTCCAACTGATCGGTCCTCCTGCGCATGTAAACACATAACCAGAAGTTGACCTTCTCTTGTCCAAGTCCCCTGCATAATCAGCATCCACATATCCCAACACCCTTGCATTTTCTTTTTGCTTCTCAAACATAATTCTTTGTCGCCAAGAACCCTTTAAATAACGCAAAATCCACTTGACTGCATCCCAATGTTGCTTTCCTGGATTTCCCATGTATCTG